GCAGGGTCTCCCTGAACTTGTTCCACTAACTTATTTTTACTCTTTTATTAATGCTTTTTTTGCTTGTAATCACAATAACTTCCAAATATTTTCCCTCCACATCCTGTACCAATCGAACCTGACCCTGTGACAAAGATTTTACTTTTAAAAATCATTTTTATTTAATTAAATATTTCCCAATTACATGTCAATTTTTTAAAAAAATTTTACATGTAAATTTTAAGTACCAAATTTTCTCCCTCCCTCCTGCCCCTCCCTCTTTCTTGGTTAAGCTGAGTTATCTCATTCCCAGTGGGAGTGAAGGCACTTTGTGTTATCTGGTACATATTCTCCTATGTATATGTTCTGAATTCTTTTTGCTATCAGCTATGTAAAATAATAATGTTGGGGTTTCTTTGCTACCTGCTATATGTGTGTTCTTTGTGGAACAGGTATTTGGTGGGAAGCAAGTCAAGCCTTGAATATAAAGCTAAGGGTCCTTTTTTCCCCATTAATGGATGAACAGTGATCAGAAATGTAGCTACGAACCTGAAAACTACATCCCCTGGACTAACAATATTTAAAAGAGCAGATGGATATAATTCTAGCCTGGTAGCTCCTCTCTCTGAGGAGAGCAGAGTGGCCCCAACTTCCTGCTTCCCCTTCTGACAGGAGTTAAAGTCTCCCTTGGAGAAGGGTGGGGGGAGAAGAGGCTAGAGATGTCTGTTCTGCCACCCTTTGAGCCACACAACAATACCCCCATGTGACATGTCAGGTGTCTTACTCCCTATGCATTTAAAAACGTTACTCTGAGAAGAATTCCACTGAATTGTCAAAGGAGTCTATCACCTCACAAAAAATTAAGAAACACTGTGCTAGTGTATTTCCCTATTGCAAATACTGCCTGTTTTTTTTAAAGTTAAGATATATACTTTTTATCATACTAAAATGGCTTTTCTATACCTATTCTTTTTAGTCAGGGTGTTTTGTTGTTGTTGTTTGCTTGTTTGTTTTTAGCATGAATGAGTAGGGTGCTTCATCAGAGCCCTTTCTGGGGAAGTAGTGATATAATCATATGGATTTAATTATTTTATACACACACACACACACACATATAAAATTGCACTAATTATTTTCTTAATGGTGAACTATCCTTGTATTTCTGATAAAATTCAAAGTAGTTTTAGGGAGTAATTTTTTCGATATTTAGTCTTTTTTGTGAGGATTTAAAAAATACGTCAGTATTTATCAATAATTTTGGTCTATTGTTCTTCAGTTGGCTGCTGCATATCTCTGTCTGGATGTTCCAGGAGTTTCAAATTCTACATATCCAAAATAAGACCTATTACCTTTGCCCCTAAACCCACTATTCTTCAAAACTTCTTCAGTTTTGTCAAAGGTACCACCATTCTCCTAATCTGCCTTTCCCCTTCCCCTCCCACGAAAAAGCAAGAAAAACAAACCTTGCTACAAATATCTACAGACAAGCAGAAAATTAGCCACATCCAAAATAAACAAGCAAACAAATTAGCTTCATCTGAATCCAACGCCTCTCTGTCTGGAGGAGGATAGCAAGTTTTATCAGGAGACCTCTGGAATTATGGTTGGTCATTGTTTTGATCAGAGTTCCTAAATCTTTCAAAGTTGATTATCTTCACAATGTTGTTATTATATTAATTGTTCTTTTGGTTCTGCACACTTCACTTTGCATGAGCATATTCAAGTCTTCCCAGGTTTCTCTGAAACCTTCCTCTTTATCATTTCTTCCTTCCTTCCTTCCTTCCTTCCTTCCTTCCTTCCTTCCTTCCTTCCTTCCTTCCTTCCTTCCTTCCTTCCTTCCTGACAATTGGGGTTAAGTGACTTGCTGAGGGTCACACAGCTAGTAAGTGTCAAGTGTTTGGTCTGAGGCTGGATTTGAACTCAGGTCCTCCTGACTTCAGGACCTGTGCTCTATCCACTGCACCACCTAGCTGCCCACTCTTTATCATTTCTTACAACACGATAGTATTCCATCACATTCAATGACAATAACTTGTTCAACCATTCCCCAGTTGATGGGCATCCCCTCAGTTTCCAATACTTGGCTACCTCAAAAGTTGCTATATTTTTTGTACACATGAGCCCTTTTCCTCTTTCTTTGATATCTTTGGGGTACAGGCCCAGCAGCTACATTGCCCATAAGTACATTGCATGTGGAGTTGGGTATTGGTTCAACCATTCTTGAGGGCAATTTGGAATTAGACAAATAAAGTGACTAAAAATGTCCATAGCTTCTGACCCAGAGTTGGTTTGCAGCCCTTGCCACAGATGTCAAAATTCCTAGTTATGGCTCTGTTGAAAGGGCTTTGATTTCTTCATCTGTAAAATGAAAGGACTGGACGGGGTGGTGTCTAAGATCCCTTTAGCTTTAACATTATGTGATTCTGTAACTAAATGCATGAAGAGAGAAGGAGAAAGGCCTATTCTGACTACCTCTGAATTCTTACCTGCCGTACGTGTTTCTTCCCAGAATACCCAGAAAACCTCTTCCCTAAATTATAATGTGCTGTAACTTGGTTCCTACTCTGGAGAGTAAATGAAGGGGCACATTTGCCCTCCTGGACTGTTTTAAATCCCCATTCACAAATTGTTCTTTACTTAAAGGTGGGACGAAGCTAACCCTCTTCTGCCTGAAAGCAGAGGGGTTTTTAATTTTTGACTGGCTTGACACTATCCTGAAACCAATTTTCCTTCAGTAATGGAGGTTGCCTTTCTAGCATTTAGCACCATCTCTTTGCAATCATCCTAATCTAAGAGCCACTGTCACCCTGGGGGCATATGGTTTGTATTGAGTACAATCTGCTGTGGGTGCAATTGTCCACACCCTCCCCTTTAACAGGGCACAAGCTATTGTCAGAATGGATTTCCTCTCCTCTGCAAAGAAAGTTGCCTTAAATGATTAGCTCTGATTGGTCAGACCTTGTGGTTTTGTTCAGCCTCTGTCTCCTTTAGAGACAATCAAGGCCTGCTAGAAAATCAGTCTCTTCACTATCTGAAGCATCCCCCAGATGTCACTTAATTATTTTTCTCACCCTCAAAGAGGATAGGTCTTCTTCCTTAATCTAAGACTGCCTTCTCTAGTGACATTGAGCACATGTCTGCTTCTAGACTATTTCAACATAAGCTGGGGCTTTGACAAAGAATGGAGAGGTTGTCCCACAGTCAGTCAATAGGAACTCATAAAGAGCCCCAGAGCACTGGGCTTGGAATCAGGAAGACTCATGTTCATGTGTTCAAACCTGGCCTTGGACACTTACTAGCTTTGTGACCCTGGGCAAGTCACTTAATCTTGTTTGCCTCAGTTTCCTCATCTCTAAAATGAACTGGAGAAGGCAATGTCAAAGCACTCCCATATCTTTGCCAAGAAGACCCCAAATGGGGTCCTGGAGAGACCCCATGCCAGGGAAAATCACACACAACCAAAATGACTGAACAACAAGAACTGGGCTAAAGGCAATCTCCCTTCCACGGTTCTTGATCTCCCTAGTTGAAGGTTCCATCCATCACCAGGAAGCAGGGGTCCTTAACCTTTTTATATAAGGACAGACTGTGGGAGGTCATGTAGAAAGAACAACAGGAAGAACAGTTTGGCTAAACTGCGGAGTGTAGGAAGGGTGGTAATGTATAACGAGGCTGGAAAAGTACATCGGGGGTACATTATGAAGAGCTTTCAAACCGAGCTTATAGGAAAAATTGGGACCTTAACTCATTGTTGGTGGATCTGTGAGCTGATCCAACCACTTTAGAGAAAGATCTTGGAATTATGCCCAAAGAGTTATTAAACTGCCTATATCCATTGAGCCAGCAACACCACTGTTAGGTCTGTTTCTCAAGAGTATTAGGGAAAATGGAAAAGAACCTACATGTTCTAAAATATTTATAGCAGCTCTCTTTGTAGTGGCAAAGAACTGGAAATTGCAGAGATGCCTGTCAATTGGGGAATGGCTAAACAAAGCGTGGTTTATGTTCATGATGGAATATTACTCTGCTATAAGAAATGATGAGCTCAATGACTTTAGAAAAGCATGGAGAGACCACCAAAAATAATGAAGAGTGAAACGAGCAGAACCAAGAGAACGTTCTATACAGTATCAGCAGTATTGTTTTAAGAATAACTTTGAGGGGCAGCTAGGTGGCGCAGTGGATAGAGCACAGGCTCTGGAGTCAGGAGGACCTGAATTCAAATCCGGCCTCAGACCAAGCACTTGACACTTACTAGCTGTGTGACCCTGGGCGAGTCACTTAACCTTGTTTACCTCAGTTTCTTCATCTGTAAAATGAGCTGGAAAAGGAAATGGCAAACTACTCCAGTTTCTTTATCAAGAAAACCCCAAATGGGGTCATATGAAGAGTAGGATACGACTGAAATGATTGAACAATAACAAAACCTCTTACCTGGCTCTTCCCAGCTCTAGCTTATGAAACTCACATAACACCCATAGCTGCCTTCAAAGGCTATTGCCATAGGGACCTAGAGTAATGCAGTGTCAAAAGGGTCGGATTTGGAGTCAGAGGTCCTGCTTGCAAATCCTGGCTCAACCCGCTCAAGGAACGGCTTCGTTCTGGGCATAAGTTTCCTTATCTATAAAGTGAGGGGATTGAATTAGGCAGCTATTAGAGAACCTTTGAGGTCTAGATTTTTAATCCTCTGATGGGCAGATCCCATTTAAAGCATGTGATAAGATGTTTGACCAGCCCACCAACCAGTCAATGACAGGCTTTCCTGTTTCTTGCCCTCCATCCTCTTGACCCCCAAGCCATGCCATTGTCCCTAACGGCTTGAGGTGATGATGGCAACTGAAGGTGTGATAGGAGTTTCGTAGGGACACAGGCTAAGCTTGGGCCTCCCGGTTGCAGGGAGCTGCGCTCAGTGATGAGACCAAAGTGCTTTCTCTTTAAGAGCATCTCATGTCATCCTGATTGGTTACAGCTATGTAGGTCTTTTTAGTGTGCGCTCCCTGCCTCTCTCTCCTCCATCCCTCCCCCTCCTCCCTACTCTCTCTTTTCTCCCTTCCCACAACTCCCTCCCTCTCTGCTCCCTACCTGCCTCCCCCTCCCTTTCCTTCTCCCCCATTTCTGTTTCTGTGCGGATTTCAGCTTTGACCCAGGCAGCAGCAGCAGCAGCAGCAGCAGCAGCAGCAAGGATGGGAAACTAGCAACAGATGCTGAGCTCTAAGATTTGTATTCATAGGCAACCTCCCTCCCTCCCCATCTAAAGATAATACAAAAGAAAAAGGCAAGTCTTGGCATCCCGAAAAGAGAGGAGATGGCTATTGCTGTTTGAACCAGAAAACGGAAACCCTAAAGCCCAACCTAGAGGCTAGAGGGAGTCATTGGAGCTGCTGCTTTACTGTCTTATCCCCCCCCTCCAACCATGCCGGGGCCACAGGCTGGCTGTGGGCTGGCTCCAGAGAAGGCTGCCTTTCTCAAGGAGAGCGCAGAAAGCCCTCTAGAATGGGCAGCCCAGGAAGGAATCCAGGACGGGGATAGCGGGAAGGCGCCAGCCCGACAGGGCATAGTCTGGAGGAATGTCATCCTGATGACCCTGCTACACTTCGGGGCCCTGTATTCCCTCACCCTCATTCCTAAGGCCCATCTGCTCACTCTGCTCTGGGGTAAGTTCCAGTTCTTCGGTGTCTGTCCGTTACTAATACTGATATGTATACACGACCTCCCTCTTAATAGCATGTAAGTTCCTTAAGGGCAGGGACTCTGTGTGTGTGTGGCCTTTATAACCCAGTGCTTACCATAGTACCTGGCTCATAGTGAGCACTAATAGCAAGTAATAAATGTTTGCCAATCAAGAGACTGATCCCTTTCCTTTTCACTAACCTTAGGGCAATAGCTACTAATCCCTACTTCAGCTGGCGAATTAAACTAGATAACCCAAAGACACCTCCTAATGTGAAAAATATTTCATTATTTTCCTTTTTGGAGCTCAAAGACTGGGGATTGCTGACCCTCCATTTGTGCCCTCCCCCTCCCCCCACCCTCAATCCAGTTCAATCAAGAGAAATTTTCCTACACAGTTCTCTGGAGGCACCCTTAACTGCCTTGAATTGCATCTTGTCTCTTGGGACAAGGCAGTTATTTCATTCCAGGCAATTCTAAATTCTCCCTCTGTCTGACTAACCCTGTTTCCTAGTTTCCTGGCAGACTGTCTCTGGGGTTCCAGGATGTAGCATGTTTTGAAATCATCGATAAAGGAATTGAGGTGTTCTTGTGGTTCAATCCAGGATTTCTAGGGTTTTTCTCTGGGAGTATTGTTTGTCGTCTCATATCTTGGGGGTGGGTGCCTCTGGGCCCTGGATTCTGCTCTCATTCTCTTGTGTTTGGTGGATAAGCATTTCAGCCTCCTCTTGACAGCAAAGATATTCACACTGTGTCCTTAATGAGGAGGAGGACTGTATAGTATGTGTGTGTTTGGAGGGGATGGAGGGAGGAAGACCTCATTTAGAACAGAACTGAGCTTTGGCTCTCATACGTACATTGGCATCGTCCTTTTTCCTCCTGACCTCCTTGCCTATCTCCCTCTACTATTTCTCATTCTCTCCATTCCTACACCCCGATCCCCAACTCCCGCCCTCCCATTTGCTATTTGCTTGCTATTCTAGCCCCTGACGTTGTTTTTTCCAGCCCCACATAAAGCTCATTCAAAGCCCCAGATTATAATACACTTGTTATGTACACGCTGTCCACTCTTGGACCCAGACAGAGGGCAGTTCCCTGCATAAGCACCTGTGGCGGTCTTCCCCACCCACCTCCCAACAATGGAGCTGGGTGCTAGAGGGAGGAGATGCTAAGGCTCCAGGACCCCCTTGGGATTTTTGTTCCTGCCTGATTTCAACCTCCGACCTCCACCCTGGAGTCCCACCTCAACCTTAGAAAGCTTATTTTGGCTTCTGCTGTTGATGAGCTTTTTCTATAATAGCCAAGACAGATGTGATAGCTACTGATCCCTTCTTCAGCTGGGGAATTAAACTAGGTAACCCAAGCTTGTGTTTTTTCTTGCCTTCCTGTGATCTATAAAGGAGTGAGGGATCACCCTTCTCTATGAACAACCCTCCAGTCCTTCCCTCCCCCTGCCAAAAAAAAAAAAAAGGAAAGGAGAGTATTTTTTTTCTCTAAATAGTCTCTTAAATGTCTTGAATTATACCTTAGTAGTGGTTGATTGGCAAATTCTATAGTCTTACGTGGAATGGGGGTGGGAAGAGAGGAGGGAAATAACATTCCTGCCTGCTTCTAAAAGAAGTATTTTTTCTTCTTCTCTTTTTTAAAATTAAATTTTATTTTTTTCATTGAACAGAATTCCATTCTCTGTCTCTCTTTCTCTGTTTCTCTCTCTCTGTCTCTCCCTCTCTCTTTCCCTCTTCCCCTCCCCCATCATTGGAAAACACAGTTTAAAAATATACTCGTTAAGAACGCTGGCAATCTGTAGAGAAGGGCTTGTATTTGATTTGGGGGTGAATGGGAAGGGTAGACGAATATTTGTTATTTTTAGTGATCAGTGGCAGTTAGGACTCCTTGCCTTGGGATTTGCGCAAGGCTTCTGTGTTCTTTCCTTGACTGTCTCTTCTTTAAGGTTGCTGTAAATGTGTCTCTGGTGACCTCTGTCTGTCTCTCCATCCCTTTTACTCTGCTTGTTTCCATCTTTTTCTCTCCCCATGGCTCTTTGTGTGTACATATGTGTGTGTGTGTGTGTGTGTGTCTGTCTGTCTGTCTGTCTCCCTCTCTTCTCACTTCTAAACGGCAAGCTGTAGAAAACACAGAATGTTCTCAGGGCACTGAAACTCTTCCAGGCTAAAAACAAACCAAGGCTCTCCTTAGCAGGCTTCCTATAAGCTAAGCTGCAGAATTTGGTCATTTTAGACAGGTTACTTGTGAGTTGTACATCAGAGCATACCTGTCTCTAAGGCTTTATTCTTTTGGCAACAATGCTAGAGAAAAAAGCAGATAGAAGTGAACACTTAATAGTCTTATTTTATATTTATACAGGTCTTGTCCTATAAACCATGCTATTCAACTCCATATAGCATGTGCCACTGAAAAGCCATCTTTCCTGGCACAAACTTGGGGTCCTAAATAGGGTGAGTCTTGTAGAGCTGGCTTGTGTTAAAGTGGGGGGATATTTGTTTGGAAAGACTTAGTCTGGAAGACACTTCTATTCTGCTGGGGAAATGCCCCAGGAATTAATTGTACCTTACTCTGTGGGGACGATTCTTTTCCATTTCAAGTTTGATTGGCTTGGTTCCCCATTGCTTCACAGAACTCCTGAGTGGCACATGGGGTGTGGCAATTGGATGGCATGTGGGTCAAAGGGTGCCCTGTGAGGGCCATCGTTTCCTGGATCTAGCTGTCCAGAAAGTCTGCTGGGGCTAGGTCCTCCATACCTGCAGAATCACCGAATTGCAGAATTTCAAAATTGGAAAGGCTCTGAAGACACCCAATCTAACCACGTCCACAAATGAATTCCTACCACCATGTGCCTTACAAGTGGTCTTCCAGTTTTGGCTTGAAGTCTTCCAGGGATCGGGAAAGCACTACCAGCCCAAGGCAGCCTCTTCTACTTTTTTTGCATAGCTTTAATTGTTAGGAAGCTTTTTCTTTCCACCAAGCCTAGAGCTGGCTCTTTGGGTTCTCGACTCATTGCTCCCAGCTCTGCTCTCTGAGGCCGAACTCACCAAGCCTGATCCTTCTTCCAAAAGACAACCTTTCAAGTACTGGAACACATTTCTTCCAGACCCTTTCTTCTCTATCTTAGACATCCTCAGTTCCTTCAAATAGGCCTTGAATGGCATGAACTAGAGGCCCTCCATTCTCATGTTACTCTCCTCTGGACACTCTCCTCCTTATCAATGTCCTTTCTAAAATGGCACCTAGAATTAAAAACCGCAAATAAGGCATGAAATAAACTGGTTTAGGAGGTCATGGGAACACAGGATCATAGATTTGCAGCTGGAATGGACCTTAGAGGTCTAATCCTTTTCATTTTACAGATGAGGATACTGAGATCACACAAGTAGTGAATAGGAGAGCTAGGATTTGAATCCAAGTCCACTGACTCCAATCCAACAATATGTCGTTATTACCAACACTACCTAGGTTACTGCTGAAGCATCAGTTCAGATGCTCTCAGGAGAAGCATCACCCCCTTTGGGGGAAAGGTAGAAAGAATGGCAGAGAAATTTAATCCTTAAAGGATCATCTGAGCTTCTTTGTTACTCTGTCTAACCTGCTTCTCATTATGATGATGGTAGCCTTTTTCAGTCCTTCCTCCTCCCCTCTCCCTCCTGTCTCCTCCACTCTGCCCTCCTCCCTTCTCCTTCCCCCTCCCCTTTTTTCCCCTCACCTTCCCTTCCCTCCCCTCCTTCCTATTCTCTGGCTTAAAGGGAAATGCTATTCAAATTAAGTGGTACCACTTGCTAAATACCCTTTTAAGGATAATTGTAAGTTGATAGAGCTTCTAAATGCTCTTTTGGAATGTAGGAGAGATCTGGGCAGCTGGAGAGCAGCAATCCACTACAGACAAGCGTTAGCAGAGAAGCACTTGTGTTTTCCTCCCTCACGTGCTTCAGTGCCAAGTCCCTAGAAGTGCATGCTTATTCTATTCCCCAGATATTGGTGGGAGAGTGTGATCCAGGTTTATGTATGAATTCTGACATTTTATTATTGATACATTCACTTCGATGTATGAGTACCTTTTGAAATGATTATTTCTTTTTCTTTGTTGTTAATTAGTTATTTTTAAGATTGAGAAGTATCATTAGTGTGCCTCCTCTCCCTCCTCTCCCCTCCTCCCCTCCTCTCTCTCCTCTCCTCTCCTCTCCTCTCCTCTCCTCTCCTCTCCCTCTCTCCTCTCCTCTCCTCTCCTCTCCTCTCCTCTCCTCTCCTCTCCTCTCCTCTCCTCTCCTCTCCTCTCCTCTCCTCTCCTCTCCTCTCCTCTCCTCTCCTCTCCTCTCCTCTCCTCTCCTCTCCTCTCCTCTCCTCTCCTCTTCCTTTCCTTTCCTTTCCTTTCCTTTCCTTCTTCCTTAAAAAAAAATTAAGGTACTAGACAGAGTAGGGGATCTCTCCAAGAATGTAATGGCTTCATGAAACCTTTTCTCTCTTCTTTTTCTTCACTTCCCCAACCCCTGATGCTGGCTCCATCATTTCTTTTCCTGGGAGCCTAGCAACATGAAGCTATTCCTATGTCAAACACCTAGTGACTATTCCTCACTCTAAATCTTTCTTTAGGGAGAATCCATTGGACATGTCCATAGGACAGTTGATTCTCTTGCCTCTAGCCGAGGTCCATCCTTCCAGATTAATCTGATGGATCTGGTAATGTTCAAAGTCCATTAATGGCTGTCCACTGCCTATTGAATAAAATACAAAGTGTATGCCTGCCATTTTAAGACTCTCCAAACTCTGTTTTCCGCCTACCTGTATTAAGTTATCTTTTATTATCCTTTCTCCAGGGAGCAAACTAGATCACTCACTGTTCCACGAACGTCTTCCACGATTTCCTGTTTTTGTACTTTTGCCCCATTCCATGTGTCTGAAAGCTGCCCACATCCATTCTTACCTCCAACCCCTATAACCGAGTATGTATATCTGTTGAAATGCTAGCCATTTG